TTTTTTTTTTTTTCCCCGCAGACTTTTGGGGAGAAGGTTTTGGGTCCCCTGGCCTGGGTGATGCCTCTGGCCGTGGCTCTGTCCACCTTCGGCGGCGTCAACGGCTCCCTCTTCACCTGCTCCAGGTGAGAAAATTCCCGAAATTCCCGAAATTCCCAAAATTCCAAAAATTCCAGAATTTTCCCCCGATTTTTCCAGAATTTTCCCTGATTTTTCCCCGATTTTTCCTCATTTTTTGGTCATTTTTTTTACCATTTTTTACCCCTCTTCACCTGCTCCAGGTGAGAAAATTCCCGAAATTCCCGAAATTCCCGAAATTCCCCAAAATTCCAGAATTTCCCCCGATTTTTCCTGAATTTTCCCTGATTTTTCCCCGATTTTTCCTCATTTTTTGGTCATTTTTTTTACCATTTTTACCCCTCTTCACCTGCTCCAGGTGAGAAAATTCCCGAAATTCCCGAAATTCCCAAAATTCCCAAAAATTCCAGAATTTTCCCCCGATTTTTCCTGAATTTTCCCTGATTTTTCCCCGATTTTTCCTCTTTTTTTGGTCATTTTTTTTACCATTTTTACTCCTCTTCACCTGCTCCAGGTGAGAAAATTCCCGAAATTCCCGAAATTCCAAAAATTTCTTGGAATTTTTCTTCTTTTTCTTAAATGTTTCTTCTTTTTCTCAAAATTCCCTCAATCTTCCCTCGTTTTTTGTCATTTTTCCCATCAAATTTCTCCATTTTTCCCCCAAATCTCCCAAAAATTCCCCAATTTTCGCTCCAAAATTCCCCAAAATTTCCATTTCCTTCCCAGAATTCCCGATTTTCCCCAAATCTCCCCAAAATTCCCCAAATCCCCTCAAATTCATTTCCCCCCCCAAATCCCCAAAAATTCCTTTTTTCCCCCCAAAATCCCCCAAATTTACAATTTTCTCTCCAGAATTCTCCAAAATTTGCAATTTTCTCCCAAAATCCACAAATTTCCTGTTTTCCCCCCCAAAATTTACAAATTTCTCCCCAAAATTCCCCTTTTTGCCTCAAAATTTCCATTTCCCTCCCAAAAAAATCCCCTTTTTTTTCCCCAAAATCCCCATTTTTTTGCCAAAACCCCCAAAATTCCCATTATTCCCCCAAAATCCCCATTTCCCCCCCCAGAATTCCCATTTTTTCCCCCAAACCCTCAAAATTCCCTTTTTTTTCCCCAAATTTCCATTTTTTTCCAAAAATTCCCATTTTTCCCCAAGAAGTTTCCCTTTTCCCCCCAAAATCCCCATTTTCCCCAAAAAATTCCAATTTTCCTCCCAAATCCCCATTTTTCTGCTAAATTTTCCCTCATTTTCCCTCAAAATCCCCATTTTGCCCCCAAAATCCACATCTTTTCCCCAAAACCCACAAAATTCCCTTTTTTCTCCCCAAATTTCCATTTTTTTTCCCAAAATTCCTATTTTTCCCCAAAAAATTTCCTATTTTCCCCCAAAAATTCCCATTTTCCCTCCAGAATCCCCATTTTCCCGCCAAAATTCCCATTTTTTCCCCCAACCCCCCCCCAATCCCTATTTTCCCCTTCCCAAACCCTCCAAAATCCCCATTTTCCCCCCAAATTTTCCAATATTTCCCCCCAAAATCCCCATTTTCCCTCCCAAAATTCCCATTTTTTCTCCCCAAAATCCCCTTTTTTTCCCCCAAAATCCCCATTTTCCCCCCAAAACCCCCACAAACCCCCATTTTCCCCCCAAAAATCCCATTTTTTCCCCATTTTCCCCTCAAAAATCCCCATTTTTCCCCCAAAACCCTCCAAAATCCCAGTTTTCCCCCAAAATCCCCATTTTCCTGCCTAAATTCCCATTTTTTCCCCCAAAAACCCCCCAAATCCCGATTTTCCCCCTTCCCAAACCTTTTTAAATCCCCGTTTTTTCCCAAAGTGACCATTTTTCCCCCCAAAACCCCCCAAAAACCCCATTTTTTCCCCAAATCCCCATTTTTTCCCCCAAAACCCCCCAAAATCCCCATTTTCCCCCCAAAATCCCCATTTCCCCTCATTTCCACCTCATTTCCTGCCCCTCGATGACGTCACCGCACCCCTGATGACATCACTGCCCATGCGATGACGTCACCGCGCCCTCGATGACATCACCGCCATCCCGATGACGTCACCGCACCCTCAATGACGTCACGGCGCCCTCGATGACATCACCACTCCCCTCGATGACGTCACCACCCCTCAATGACGTCACCGTCATCCCGATGACGTCACCGCCCCCTCGATGACGTCACCGCTCCCCTCGATGACGTCACCGCCATCCCGATGACGTCACCACCCATTTGATGACGTCGCTGCCCTCTCGATGATGTCGTGGCGCCCTCAATGACGTCACGATGACGTCACGGCGCCCCTCGATGACGTCACCACCCCCTCAATGACATCACCGCCATCCTGATGACGTCACCATCCATTTGATGACGTCGCTGCCCTCTCGATGATGTCATGGCGCCCTCGATGACGTCACGATGACGTCACGGCGCCCCTCGATGACGTCACCACCCCTCAATGACATCACCGCCATCCCGATGACGTCACCACCTCTCAATGACATCACCGCCATCCTCATGACGTCACCACCCATCCCGATGACGTCACGGCGCCCCTCGATGACGTCACCACCCCTCAATGAAATCACTGCCATCCCAATGACGTCACCATCCATTTGATGACGTCACCACCCCTCAATGACGTCACCGCCCCTCCGATGACGTCACGGCGCCCCTCGATGACGTCACCGCCCATTTGATGACGTCACGGCGCCCCTCGATGACGTCACCACCCCTCAATGATGTCACCGCCCCTCCGATGACGTCACGGCGCCCCTCGATGACGTCACGCTGACGTCACGGCGGCGCCCGCAGGCTGTTCTACGCCGGCGCCCGGGAGGGGCAGCTGCCGGCGCTGCTGGCCATGATCCACGTGCGGCGCCACACGCCCGTGCCCGCCCTGCTGCTCACCGTGAGCCAAACGGGGACGGGAAACACGGATTTGGGCAAAAAACGGAAAAAAAACGGGGAGGAAC